CGTGAGCACAAATTGAGGCAGTCTGGGGGCCAGATTTATAATGTCGAGAACAAACTTGAGAAAAACCAAAGTACAATGGTTCAAAAGAAGCACAAATGTTCAAAGTTTTTCCAAAAAAATCAAGCTATATTTACTATGAAGCTTCCCCTTTTTCTCGACGCGTTCTGCTTCCACGCGGCTTTGAAACTTGTGAACAAGTTTGAAAATGTGAATAAAATGTTAACTAATTAATCAACTTCGGTATCTTGCAAAGATCAAAAGTCAGCACAAATGACCAATGAAAAGAGATAAGTGATGAGATGATGTCTTATTCAATAATTTTTTTAGTAATCACTGATTGTCAGGTAGTTAAATATATTGTTTAAGGAGAATGTTAACGTGTGGTTTCACTTATATCCGGTCCTTACGCTAAAATGATGTATTATTCAATATTTTTAGAGACATTATATTTGAAGTCCTGGTTTACTAACAAAAAAAGCGTTCTCTGGATTCCCATTGTAGGGTGCGCTAGTTTGAGTCAAAGAATTTTTCGCGAACTAGTTTTCTGAATATTTACACGTTTGGCTTGCTAAAAATGATCATTCAATGGAAGAACATTTACAGTAAAAGACATATGTATTCTTAAAGTTGAGAAAATGAATTCCCTAACCTAAAAGGTGGAAAATGATTTCTCGGAAAACATTTTCCTTTATCATGAAGTTTTCCCTTAAACAAACACACTCATGATCTTTGATTTGCATGGCGCTACATGCTACTTGAATGTTAATCATGACATTCCTTGGTCACAACAATATTTTGCGGTAATCAAAGATTTTTATTTTTAAGATCCATTGGCACTAATTTAGTTTGTTGAATTGAAGTAATCGGTTTTGCAGTTAATCGTAACAAAGCATTGTTGTCAAATGACGTCGCATTTCATTTCCTCCGCCCTTGATTCTTATTTCTTTCTTTGTTCCCTAAAAATGTTGATTATTCTTTAATATCATCTACAACTGTATGTTAGCTCTCATACCTTTATAGGTTTTTAACCTTAGGGTTGGCGCAGTTGGTTGGGGTATTGGGAAATTTTTCAGCTAAAAAAATTGAAAATTGAAAATCACTTGTTCAAATCCCACTAACTGTGTGACAAACCTCTCTAGATCAGAGCCAACTGCATAGGCCAAAAGTTTGGACATAACCAGTTAATGAGGGCTTAAATGATGTTCCATGGATCTTCAGGTAATTAGATCTTTATTCTCGTGATCTTGGATTGTTTTAATTTCAAATACAAAAGCTAAACTTGGTGGATATAAAAAATTTATAGAAGAAGTGAAAATGTATACAAACGTATAATTATTGATTGAGATCCTCTAAAATTAGATAATAACTTTATCTATTAGTAATTCTATTTGACCAAAATATGTTGTTAAGGAAATCTTCCCGAAACATTAATTCAACCGAACACACATTCCTCTCTCTCTCCACCACAGATCAAGTCGTGTCACCATCATAATCTCTATCGATCTTTGCCTGGCCTCCTCCACGGTCGACCGCCTTCTCTAGCTCTGACCCCACGTACTCAACGTCGATTTGAGCTCGACCAAGGTTGCTGATACCTGAAATTTAGGGGCTCTGGCGGCCTCAATTTGAGGTCTTGAGGGATTGGTGTTTCGATCACGGCCAGCACATTTTAGAGAGAGAGAGAGTCAAATACTATGGGGGACCAGCTGTTGTGAGTTTAGAATTGAGGGGAGAGAAGACAGAAGGGCGACGCCAGCTATTGTCATGGCCGTGTTGGTGGCGGGGCCAATAATAGCGCAGCAGTTGCGGTCAACGGCGCTGTTGTGCTGTAGGCCAAGGTGAGGGAGTAGGGAGAGGGAGAACGAGGGTGTGAAAAGAGAAACTTCTCCTTCTTCTCTATTTAATATAGATTTGCACGTGTCGCCATTCTACTAGAGGGTCTACCATCTTCAAATCCACCCAACTTTTTATTAACATAAAAAATTAGGGAGGATTATAATAATTCAAGCCGAAGGACAGAACTAAAATCAACAGCATGCCTCTAGAAAATCATGTAATTAGCTGTAAATGGGAGATGGGTTTTTGGTCTAGGCTCCGTTTGTTTCACGAAAAATGAATGATTTGAAAAATATTTTCCAAAAAAATGATTACTTGTATTGCTTGAAATAATTAACCAATAAAAAAATACTATTACTATCGACAATAATTTATATCCAAATATTTTAGTGGACGATGAAAAAAATTTCGGTTCATTAATTTTTGTGAGCGATATAAGTAATCATTTTTAAGAAAGTATTTTTCAAATCATTCATTTTTTCGCGAAATAAATGGAACCTTAGTTTCACAATTATTAGAGAGAAAGAGAGGGGTTCTTTTACTCTTCATGAAGAGAATTTAGCCGTCGGTATAACCTTTGGTCGGTAATCTCTAAATCAACGGTTGTACTTGTTACGTGCCCGTATCCTAAGCCTTCTCTGGGTTCAACAGCGTTGACTTTAATAAAGTCAAATGAAGAAAAGTTGCACAAAGCAGTTGTTTCTTGCACGGCTCGAGCTCACATTATGAGCAAATATGAAAGGAACTTTGAGCTGAAATCAAATGAAGAAAAGTCGGACCACTATAAAACTCTAGTGCATCATTCTCTATCTTTCTGCTTATATTCACTATTGCCAGATAGAAGCACATTGCACCACTTGATATAACATGCTCTTGCATATTATACACACTGTTTTACTCGATTTACTCTTATATCAAACTTGACGCTTTCAATTCCGAAATATTTTGTCAAGTTTCTTGAAATCACATATTCACCCCGTCTAGGTGATACTGTTAGCCAACATCAACCTTAACTTATTAAGTTGACGAAAATAATATCAAGAGAATTAATTGATCAAAATACAAAGTGAAAAGGGTGAAAGCTGTTATTTACTGGAAACACAATTGCACATTGTCATGATAATATAAGACATACTATTTTAGTCAAAACAATTTTGTTTTATTCCACCACATCTTGTTATTTTCCCTTCGTTTTTATAGAAACTGCATTTTCTCTTTTACACTTACTAATGTACTTAAGCTGAATTCTATGAGAGATTTTTTGTAATGAGTTTGAACCTATTTGGTGATCTTTGTTAATGATCATATCTCAAATGCAGCTTATAATCATATAGAGTTCACAACTTTAATCAAAGAATTCCACTCAGAAAAGAAGTTCAATCAAAGAATTTTATATAGTAGGGAGTTATTAGAGATTGAAATTTAAAGTGAGATTGTAAATAAATGTTCTAGACATCAATACTTTACTAATATTCTTTTAAAATAGAATTCCAATCATTAAGTTTATTAATATACACGAATCTTAGAGGACTCTTGTAAAAAAGCAACAAATCTGCAAACTTCTCTGCACATAGTAGAAGAAAAAACAAAAGTTAAGGAAAGATGGATAAAAATAATTAAATTGATTGATCTAAGTTAAAAGGTATGTTTTCCCTCTTTCATCAATCCTACCCCTTTTGTTTTGGTCGGAATCAATCCTACCGTTATTGAGGTCCCGTGATGGCTATTTTGGACCATTAAAATTTTAGGGCGTGTTAAAGCGATTTGAGGGGTGAAAGATAGCTTGAGTTTTAGTAATCTTTTTGAAAAATCAGAATAATACACAAATCCTCATCCAAGGCTTAGAATACCCTCCCCAATAAGATGATGAATCACTGAAGTGTGCGAATTCAGTAACTGTGGATGAAATAATTTTTGAAAAATTAAGTTATATAGATGAGTAATTCGCCCGATCGAGAAAGAGAATCTGAGAATCGTCGAACTCCAAACTTTTTACTCTCAAACGGGTCAAAAAATCAGAATCGGCTTTGCTGTTTTATCTTGCTTTGCCTCCCATCATCAAGACAATAACTGATCTGCCGGAGTGTTCACTCCCCTATATACGTTCGCCGCATGCATCATCACTGATGACTCATCACCATTAAATAAGTGGGCAATAATAATTATGCCAAAAATGTCCAAGATAATTGAATTATTCTACTACGACGAACCTGTCATCTTTGAACGGTTTTGCTATTTTCTATACATATTTCACATGTAAACTATGGTTTGATTGGTCAAAGCCTAATTGATACATGATGGAGAATATAATATCCGTGGTAGCTTGCACTGCCTTTGCAAGCAACATGGGTTCTAGGGTTTTTTATTTTACAAGACACAAATGTCCACTACGAAGTCCTTTGCCCTATAAGATATTCCATTAGAGTATACTAAACTAATTCAATGGATTTTTCTATAATTAATCGACAAAAGTATAGAAATAAAAACTACTCGAGGATGCCATTGGTGATTAGCCACAGGTTTAGGTCACCCACCAAGAGTTCATCATTAAAAATAAAAAAAAATACCCCTATTGTCATTGAGTTTTCGACTTATTTATTCCCATTCATTGCAATTATTTTTTCTTTCTTTGGGTTCGGATTACAATTACCATATATACATATATATATATATATATATATATATATGTGTGTGTGTGTATATATAATCCATTAATTTCCATGCAGGTTGTATTTCTCTTTGGTTATTTTTCTCTTTTTGGGTGTGAAATTTCCATATATACATATATATACCTATATCTATATAATCAATTAATCTCCATGCAGGTTATACTTCTCTTTGTTTTTTTCTCTTTTTGGGTGTGAAATTACCATATATACACATATACCTATATCTGTATAATTAATTAATTCCCATGCAGTTTATATTTCTCTTTGTTTTTTTTTTCTCTTTTTAGGTGTGAAAATCAGGAAGCCACCATGGTCATCAATGAACACGCCGGCCTTCGTTTATCATTTCCACGCGGAGAGCAGGAGAAATATCTTTAATAAAGTTTTTCTCTCGTTTTCATTTTTGCTACTCTTTCTCCGTCCATTTCCATCTGACGAAACGTAAAGGAGACGCACATGTGCCACGAAATCACAGGGGAGTTGCACATTTGAGCTTCCCCCGTTGACTTTGAATGTTGAGGTATATACCCGTAGATGCCAGTCTATATTCCAACGTTCTACAGATCAGAGAAGCATTTAAATACCCGACTATCTCTGCTTTCATTTCACTCTGTCCATATCCAACGCAGCGGCAACCACCTTCGTTCGCTGAGCTGGTTAGTATCTCTCTCTCTCTCTCTCTCTATCTCCATGAGCGGAGACTCCACTACAAGTTTTCTTTTCAGTAATACTAGGTTCAGAGAGATCTGCCTAGTAACTTTCTGCTACTCTTTTTGCATGCACAATGATTTCTTTCCCCTTTTTGTTCAGTTATTAGACTTGAAAGTCATGAAAGAGAAAGATGTGCTTTTTTATCAACCATCATAGCCATTTATGGCTCTCTGCTGCGTGTCGTCGCATCTCATGCTTCTGACCTCCACTGGAGCATTTTGCACTGCGTGAACAAATAGTGGTTCTTGACTCCTAACATATGTATTCCTCAAGCTCATTTCTCTTCTGAGATTAGAGGTAGATATAGAGCTGTTCATCTTGCTGAACTGCTCCTCCTAACTTTGTCTTCTTCTATAAAACCCTTAGAAAACAAAAAGAAAATTCGCTCTTCACCTAAATCATATGGAAGTAATTCCTCTTGCACAGATAAGTGGATTTTGGTATGCTTTGATTTTTGCCTCTGCGCTCCTTTTGATGTCTTTTGATGCTTGTTCTTGGCAATCTTGGCAAATCCTTTTGTGGCAGACTCACCTGTTAAGTCAGCTTGAATTTTAGAAGAGGTTCTCAACAGTTTGAGAGAAATTTTCCTTTCAATTTTTCTGCCTCAGTGTAGTCTGAATTCTGAAACATATGGTAACTGTAGCTAAGAAAAACTATCAACATGGTCGACCAGAAACACGGGTTTCCGGTGATGACGCGTTTAATGATATGTGTCGACAATAATTTAAGACCCAGAGTTGTTGAAACATTGACTTCGAAGGTCACACATACGAATGTAAACCGTCTGGTTGGGTTATCTTTCTTCATCTCAGAATAAACTGTAGCACACTTGTCAAGGTTCATTATTATTAAATTGGAAATCGGACAAATCTTTCTGTATCTTCTCATATCTGCCTCATATTATAAGGTTTAAGTCAAGTCTTTTTGATGATGCAAGTGTCCTTGGTCCCTATCGATGGTTTTTGACCGGTTGATATTTTCTCAACAAGAGCGTGTGGCTACCTAATCGTAATGCTCATTGAATTTCGCAACACGAGAGAGATTCCACGAATCTAAAACACGTTTAATATGTTAGCCATTGTACAAGTTTTGAAAGAAGTGTTAAAGGTTTCACTCCTCTTCAATTTGGTTGACTTGGCTACTGAGAGGCAGATGATAGATAATTTGGACAGTTGAAACTGATGGTTCGTGATTTACCTCTTGTTTTGTTACATTTTCACTAGACACACGTTCAATTTCTTGTATTTCTGCTACTGAAAGTACAGTAGGAGTATAATGCATTCATTAAAACTACTTAAATGATCTATCATTCCACAGAGGTGGGATTGATTGCCAGTCATGGCTCGAAATCAACTTGGGGTACTTGATGCGCTCGATGTGGCCAAGACGCAATGGTATCATTTCACTGCCATCGTGATTGCGGGGATGGGATTCTTCACCGACGCATACGATCTCTTCAGTATATCTCTCGTCACCAAGTTACTTGGCCGGATATACTACTTTAACCCCAACTCTTCCAAGCCCGGCACTTTGCCTCCCAGCATTGCAGCTGCTGTTAACGGAGTCGCACTGTGTGGCACTTTGGCCGGGCAGCTCTTCTTCGGGTGGCTTGGTGACAAGTTGGGACGGAAACGAGTCTATGGGGTGACCCTGGTCCTCATGGTCGTTTGCTCCCTCGCCTCCGGGCTCTCGTTTGGCAACCAGCCCAAGGGCGTCATCGCCACCCTCTGTTTCTTCCGGTTCTGGCTTGGGTTCGGCATCGGCGGCGACTACCCGTTGTCCGCGACCATCATGTCTGAATATGCCAACAAGAAGACCCGTGGCGCGTTCATTGCCGCAGTTTTTGCCATGCAAGGATTTGGGATATTGGTTGGAGGGATCGTGGCACTCATCGTCTCGAGTGCATTCGATCATGCGGACAAGGCTCCTCCATACTCAGTTGATAAGGCAGGCTCCACTGTTCCAGAAGCCGATTACGTTTGGAGGATCATTCTGATGTTCGGAGCAATTCCGGCCGCTATGACCTACTACTGGCGAATGAAGATGCCCGAGACTGCTCGTTACACCGCCCTAGTGGCCAAGAACGCGAAGCAGGCGGCGAATGACATGTCTAAGGTGTTGAACGTTGACCTTGAGGCCGAGGAAGACAAGGTGGAAAGGATTGCGCAGGAGAGATCCAACAACTTCGGCTTGTTCAGCAGAGAATTCGCTCACCGCCACGGGCTCCACCTCGTCGGGACCACAACCACATGGTTCTTGTTGGACATTGCTTACTACAGCTCCAACCTCTTCCAGAAAGACATCTACAGCAAGGTGGGTTGGCTTCCCGCGGCAGAGAGCATGAACGCGATTCATGAAGTCTTCCGCATTGCCAAAGCACAGACCTTGATTGCACTCTGCGGCACCGTCCCTGGATACTGGTTCACAGTCGCTTTCATCGATCACATTGGAAGGTTTGCTATCCAATTGATGGGCTTCTTCTTCATGACTGTGTTCATGTTCGCGCTCGCAATCCCTTACCATCACTGGACCGAGAAGCCAAACCACATCGGCTTTGTGGTCATGTACTCATTCACCTTCTTCTTCGCCAACTTTGGGCCCAATGCCACAACGTTCGTTGTGCCGGCAGAGATTTTCCCAGCGAGGCTCCGGTCAACTTGCCACGGCATATCAGCAGCGTGCGGAAAGGCAGGGGCGATCGTCGGGGCCTTTGGGTTTCTGTACGCTGCGCAGGGGAAAGCGTTAGCGGATAGAGACGCCGGTTACCCACCAGGGATTGGAATGAAGAACTCGTTGATAATGCTCGGCGTGATCAACTTCTTCGGGATGTTGTTCACTCTGTTAGTCCCTGAATCAAAAGGAAAGTCGCTTGAGGAGCTCACGGGCGAAAATGAGGACGAGCCCGGTCAGAGCCAGCAGCCTCAGGAGGTGTCCGCTGCTAGAACAGTCCCAGAATGATTTCAACTCCTAAGTGACTTCGTGTTGAAAAATGAAGAAGTAGAAATTGAGCGCTGAAGAAACTTCCCGTGTTGCTGAATTTTATGGAATCGTCGCGCAGGATGAATAAGTTTTTTAGAAAATCTCCATTTTGCATTCAAGAAATGGTAAAAGATGTGTATATTAAGTTCATGTATGATTTATGAGTGGTTTTGTTTACATGTTTTCAATCTTCGCAGTCGCACATTTACTGCCCGATGCCTAGCAGATGAGACACATCCCTATAACCTTTGGCCTCTTTATGGCACTGTGCATCCACTAGAACATCGGAAAAGGTAACGCGAAATGAATCAGCATCCAAGTTCAGCACTACGCCATCGAGGTGCATCTTGTCAGTAACGAGACTTTTGCTCATCATTGGCATATCTGCAGATGAAATCCTAAAAACTCCAACTCAGAACAGACTGAGATAGCTGAAAACGAGATTAGCATACAGGGAAATGTTGATCATGTCTTTGGCAGACTAAAGTTGGAGCCGAAATTAATCTGGATTGGTTCGTTTCGCTTGTAAATTTGTCATGGACTGAAACTAAGGATGAAATCCGCCAAGGTCTTAAATTGCCCAATTAGCTGCAGTATAGTCGATCGCTCCAGGGCTGTGGATCATTTGCTTTCCCCATTTGAATTCTCAAATTCTTCTCGCGGCTCCGGAATCTAAGCCGATTTGACGTCTGGTCCCTCGAATTCGATAAAGATAAAAAGGGTGCCTTGAATTATGAGAAGAATCAATGCAAGAGATGGTCCTGAAGATGTGAAACTGCACCTTTGCACTTGTGGATCTGAAACAACTCGGGGAAAATAATGAAGTAGACAATCGTTGACTTGGCTGAGATGATATGCTCTGACAAAACAAGCGTGCACATCTGCATACTTTTTTGTTTTTTCCAAAAGAACAAAATCATAAAAACCGATAGACCAATGGTTTTTTCTTCCAAAAGTTAAACGGTCAGAAAGGAACAATTATCTAAATATAGCTCGCATCAACCATGCTGTCTACTGCTTACACTGAGTCAGGCCAGGTAATGATTTCTCCAACCATATAAATTTCTCTGCACTTCAAACATCATAAAGTTCTTTCCATTGGCTTCTTTTATTGTAACCGGGAATGATGATTGCCATGTAAATGCGAGCTTAATCTTGTAAATTTGCACCGGCGCTCTTCTTCTTTCTGTTCAACACTTAGTTTAATGGGGAGCTTGCGCATGCATGACCCAAGTTCACCCCCAAAAACTAACAGCAATTTATTGCTTCTCACCCCTTCTTTCTTTCTTTTTCATTCCTCGACATTCCTCTCTTTATCTCTCTCTCCACCACAGATCAAGTCGTATCACCAGCACAATCTCTCTCGATCTTTGCCTTGCCTCCTCTGCGATCGACGGCCTTCTCCAGCTCCGAGCCCGCGTCGGTGCAACCAAAGATCGGGGCCACATGAGGTACGTGACATCCGATTGAGCTTGACCAAGGTTGCCGAAGCCCGAAATCTAGCTTTGGTGGCCTCAATCCAAGGTCTTGAGGGCTCGGTGGCTATCACAGTAGGGCATGCACGTTGGCCGTCGTAAATGGCATTCCTGAATCACCATAGCTAGAAATTAGAAACACAGTGATGGATTAAAGGGATTTGTGCACCTGATTCGGATTCCATCGTGGCGGAATGACGACGATCCAAAGCTTAAGTGCTTCTCTTCTGTTACCCTCTGTATCATTGGCACAATGAGAGATTTTGTGCATCAAGAAAGACTTCAGCTCTATTTATAAAGTTTACAGTCATGCCCTCTCATTACGCGACGGGCTCAACTTGGCCCACGTAAGCCAGGCCCATATTAGACTAATTAAGCTTATTTATATCTTACCTTATTAGACCAAACCCGTAAAATGGTCAATTACAATCTCAATTAATACAGCCCACATAGAAAAATTCTTACAATGCAAGCATTTGAGAAAGAGAGAGTCAAATACTAGTGGAATCCAACCGCGGTGAAATTAGAACTGAGGAGGAGACAAGACAAAAGGTCAGCACTGGCTACTGTGATGGTCATGTTGGTGTCGGCTCGAGCTCCCATTATGAGCAAATCCGTAAGAATTCTGAACTATAATCCACCTCGAATAGTTCTTTTCTCAAAATTTTAAAAAGAATAAGGGATAAGTACACTAAAAGTTTTAAAACTTGTCGCGAAAGTGCAATCGAATTCTAAAACTTTCAAAAAGTGCAATCAAATCCTAAAACTTGTCGCGAAAGTACAATCGAGTCCTAAAACTTTAAAAAAGTGCAATCAAGTCATGAAACTTGTCAAATTGATGCAATTAAATCCTTTAGTTAACTCTATCAATTTATTAAATGGAAAATGCTGACGTGGAATTTTTAAATTACTTTCTCTTTTTTACGTGGCATTTTTTATTATTTTTTCTTCCAATTTGATTTTAATTAGATTAAAAAATTTAATAAAAAAGCTAAAATTTATTTAAAAAACAAAACTGAAAAAAAAAAAATGGCAGGGCAGGGCAGGGCCTCGCCAGTGGGCACTACCGCCGCCGCCGTCCATCGCCGGAGGGGCCGGTGGAGGTCGCCGGCCCTGGGCAAGATTGGCCGACCCTCGCTAGCCCTAAGCAAGGCCTCGCCGACCCCGGACAAGGGCCGGCGACCCTCGTTAGGCCCGGCTGAGGGCGCCCAGATCTAGGCTACGCCAGCTCTCCCCTGGATCCGGCGAACATCGACCGCCTTAGCCGGGGGCCGGCGAGGCCTCACCTGAGGCAGGTGAGGCTCGCTAGCCCCAGACGAAGGCCGTCATCGCCCAGATCTGGGTGCCCTCGACCCAGTTCTAGGCGAGCCTCACCGGGCTCAAGCGAGAGCCGACAAGGCCTCGCTCGGGCCTAGCGAGGGTCACCGGCCCTTGCCTGGGGCGGCGACCATAGCCTGCTGCGACGCCTCGCCCAGGGCGGGCGATGGTCGCCGGCCGCAAGGGAGAGACGACGTCGCACGAATCTGGGCGCTCTCGCCCGGGTCTAGCGAGGGTTGCCGGCCCTCGTCCGAGGCCGGCGACCTTCGCCAACCCCTCCGGCGATGGGCAGCGGCGGCGGCAGCGCCCACCGACGAGGGCCTGCCCTGCCATTTTCTTTTTTTTTTCTGTTCAGTTTTGTTTTTTATGTAATATTTTAGCTTTTTTTAATTTTTAAATATAATTAAAATAATATTTAAATAAGTAGGTAGGAGAGAGAAAGTAATTTAAAAATGCCACGTCAGCATTTTTTGTTAAATAAATTGACAATATTAACGGAAAGACTTAATTGCACCAATTTAACTAGTTTTAGGACTTGATTGCACTTTTTGAAAGTTTTAGGACTCGATTGCATTTTCGTGATAAGTTTTAGTACTTGATTGCACTTTTTAAAAGTTTTAGGACTCAATTGCACTTTCGCAACAAGTTTTAGGACTTCTAGTGCACTTATCCCAAAGAATAATATAAGTTTAAAAATACATGATATGTTTTGGAGATTTCATGCATCTCGCATTAAATGTAACAACTCAAGTTGGGTGAGTTGAAAAAAAAAAAACATTCCTTAATTAAAAAATTCTCATAAGAAAGAAAGTCCACCGTCTTTTTCTTTTTTCATGAAAACAAGTTCAATTAGGCAATGTGCAATAATTTTTTTTATACTTATGATGTTTTGATCTTATCTTGCGATCGAGAGAAATAATTATTTTAGATCTTATGTACTCGTCAGCGATCATGCATTTCAATTTTATGATTAGTCAAATCATATAAAATATGCTCTCTTTTCTTGCTTTGTTTTCGAAAAATCATAATGATACGGAATTCCTCATCGAAGGCTCATAAACTCTCCCCAATACGATGATAAATGATTGAAGCGTGCGAATTTAATAATTTTCCACAAAAGTACTTACTCTGAAACGGGTCAAAAAGAAAAAACAAAAGTCGACTTTGCTGATCTGTGAACTTCGCCTCCCATTATCAAGACAATAATTGATCATGCGCGATGGGATTGAGAGATTTTGAAATTCGTTTTTTAGGCAAAGTGTATGGCAGAGTGTTTAATGGAAACAGATGATGGAAAGATTTCAAATGAATGTGTATGTATGGAAAAATGATATTGGAAGAGGAGTTCACCACCAAGGCCTAAAAGTTCACACCACTAGCCAAGGTTAAAGGACTCAAGATGAAGTTCACCAAGATCACTTGGTTAAAATCAAGCCTTCTTCCTATGCCTGTTTGATTTATTTTTGTAAGACTCATTTGCTATTTCGATCTTGGATCGAATCTACTCACGACGCTTCTTCATCACCTTGGCTCTCTCGTAAGCCTCATAATTGATTTGTGAGTTGGATGGAATGGGAATCATGTCAATAGATGTGAGAGGATTGATTACATACATAACTTCAAAAGGTGATTAACCAATAGTATAACTTCGCGATTGATTTTAAGTAAATTCAGCATTCACAAGCTTTATATTCTAATCCTGAGTAAACTTCGAAGGAGATTAATAAGGGTGCGGTTGGTTACTTTAGTTTAGCCATCTATTTGTGGATGGTGCTGAATAAGAGTTTAATGCCAAGCATTCTCCATAGGGTCTTCCAAAGTAACTTAGGAACTTGGAGTATCGATTTGACACAATGGTCTTAGGAACCCCATCATCCGTCTTATGACATGGAATGAAATGTGCAATCTTCAAAAATCAATCAACCACCACCATGATGGCATCTTTCTTCCTTTCAGTTCTTGGGAGTGCCACAATAAAATCCATGTTTACATCCTCCAAGGCTGTGGCGGAACTAGAAGTGGAGTATGAAGCCCTTAATGGAATTGGCTCTTCGCCTTTTGACACGTTGAACATCTAGAACTGATTGCATGTACATGCCCATTTATCTTCGGCCAATAAAAATAATCTTGAAGGACTTCCAAAGTTTTATTATTCAAAGTGGCCTGCCAATTCTCTACCGTGCACTTTTTAAATTAATAGCTATCTAAAGGAACTCTTTGGCACACATATTTTGTTTTGCTTAAAGAGAAATCCACGCCGAATCGAGTAAACACCACGAACTACATGTTTGCAGTTGTCAATGATGAGTGAGAACTCGATATCTTCAACATAGAATTCTTTCATGAAATTGAAGCCAAGAAC